TTATCTCCCCTAATCCCTGTTCTGATAACTCGTTAGGTAAGTTATTCAATTTTTTTCCTGTGTTTCATATGTTCAATATGTTTTGTGAGTATCAAATTCTCCAAGCCCATTTTCCTCATTATGCGCCCTAGAAATTTCAATTGCCTTTTTTTTTCCATTTCCCCTAAAACTTCATTGTTACTCACATGTTCTGTTCATGGGATTCTCAATATCCTTCTCTATAAGCACCTTTCTTTTAACTCAAATCTCTTCTTCATCTGTGTTCAGCATTCACAACCTTATAGGTAAACTGATATTACATAATATTTCAGCACTCTTTTTGTGGGTAAGGAAATTTTTCCTGTTTCTTAATACTTTGAAAGCGGTTTTCTCCCCCTACAACTTCTGGATTATTCTATTGTTCCCAAATAAATCAAGATTACCAAACAATTTGAACAATTCTTTAAATTCCTCTCCTTTTCTCTTTGACTCTCTATTTCTCTGTTTTAACTTTATATCTCTTGGATTCTGATTCTCTTTACTTTTTGCATATTTTATGAAACGCTTTTCCATAATCTATAAAACATAAGTATACATCCTTCTGCGTTTGTATTACTCTTTCTAATATCGATCTGAGTATGAACATTGCATTTCTTGTTCTAGTGTCTTTAATGAAAGTGCATTGTTCTTGTTCTATTTCTGGTCTAATTCTGTTACGCTCTCTATTCATCAGAATTTGGATGAGATTTCGTTCTGTGATTCATTAGGCTAATTGTACGATCGAATTCGCATTCGATTGCACCTTGCTTCTTAAGCAGCCCTATGAAAATGTATCTACTAAGATCTTCCAGTATTTAACCACTGTCGTATATATCATTTATCATTTCTGTAATTTTCTCAATGCCGAAATTATCTCAAGCTGCCAGCATCCCTATTACAGTCCCTCTTGTTCCTTCTTTGTTCCTTCAATTTAGCCACTGATTATTTTACTATAGATTTTAAATATTGCTGATCCTTCCATATTTTTATGTATTGCAGGTTTTCCTCTGTCGTTGTGAAAACGTCAGCCAGTGTATTCGTTCCATCTTTGAAATATTTTTCCTTTCTCTCTTTTGATTGTATGCGTCCTGTTAATGAACTTGTCTTACTTTCCTTAATATATATTTTTAAATGCTTATTTTTGTTAAAAAAAGGTTATTTTTATTAACATCTCCCATTCTAGGCTCAATAAACGAAAACAATACGCCAATTTTAGAAATCTTTTGAAAATGCAATCTATTATAACTGCTATCACGAAAGGTGATATTTTGGGAATTAAGATAACTAAAACTAACTTTTCATGATGCTAAGAAAAAAAAAGGTATACTGAACTTTTGTGTATGTGTGTATTTGTGAGATGTGTGTGTGTGTGTGTGTGTGTGTGTGTGTGTGTGTGTGTGTGTGTGTGTGTGTGTGTGTGTGTGTGTGTGTGCTTTCTTCAAAAGGAAAGAAGAAAAAGAAAACCCACGATTAAAAGTAGATTGTTTTCCTCCTTTTAAAGATATGAAGGGGCAAGAAGGGATAGGAGCGTTCATGTTGCGTAACACGCAGGTTGGGGGTGTATGTATATTTAATTACTCTTTAGTTGTTAATTACCCATGGATGTTTGCTCAGTTGGATGCTGCCCAAGACCCATTCCAAAAATAGTCCTTTCGAAAAAAAGAAAAGAAAAAATATAACATCTCTTTCAAAGGGCTCTATCAGCTGCTAGCCACGTGACTTACTACTGCTATCACATAATAAGAGAGTTTTAAAAAAAAAAACTGAAAACCAGTTTTTCTTTGACTTTCTCTGAACAGATAACATTTTGAGATTTGAAGGCAGAAAAATTAGATAACATAGATCAATGGTAACAGTAATATAGGCCATTTCCTCATAAGGAAACATTCGACATTCTTGATCGAACAGCCAGTGCTACTCTCGGCCGAAATTTAGAAAAACAAAACAATTTTTCAGGAAAATAAGTTTCCCATCTTCACTAACTGTTATCGCTCTTTCCAGTATTTATGAAAGTTTCCTTCCTAACCTTTTGTTTAAAGTTATGTGGAACGTCAACATTTTGATTCTGCCATTATTTCCCCTTTCAAGTTACATGCGATATCCATCAAGTGATATGTTTTCTGTTATTTGGTAAAGTTATTTGTTTGGAATTCGGTAGCGTCAGTCAATGAGGTTGGATAAAGGATGGTACTCTCTAAGACCTACAGTATTGATTCGCTCGAAGCCAATTTTCAATCATTGATCTAAAAGAACGGTTGTAATACAGTTAACGGTTTAGATATTTCTGAACGAGTTTAGCGCCATGCATGACATCCAGATAAAAGTCTCAATCTGACGAGGCTATTTAAGAACCTGGCTCAAGTTCTTAGTTTAATGTTTTGGCTTTGTTGCATCTTGCACTATTGGGTGATACTCGCCCAGCGCAGCCTATTCTATGTTCAATTTCCTTTTCTCCTATACTAAATTGGTTATAACTGTTCCAGACACCGATGTAATTTGAAATGTCTGCTAGAAATAGATCTCTCTTTGTCGTCCTTATCCTGATGATATTTGAAATGATTAGGTACTGACGTCTGTACGACTTTGTGGACCGATATATTTCCTTTATCAGATCTATACATTCAATGGAGTCGGAGAGTGGAAAATAGTTCCTAACGGCTAAAAAGGGGAGCTACTGTGAGCTCATTCCAATATATGAGCGTTTATGTCATCGAACTTAACCCCATATCATCAGCAGCAGGACACTAGGGGCGGACGGGGGAAGAAATGTTACTTAAAAGTGAAAGACTAGACTAAATCAACCTGCCCAGTTACAAAATGTAGAAAAAAAACGGATCGAGTGTTGCAGGACTAGACTACAAGTAGTGAATTACTGGACTTTCCTGTCACATTCAACGGATGAGGTTCAAGCAAATCAGTTCCTAGGAACCGACAGTCAAATACCTGCACATATGATTTGATTATAGTGGTGAAGGTTTTGTGCAGAACCAACCACACTTTTTGAAGGGCCGAATACAGAGACCTGGCGCACTACGTGCCACAAGGTCCCCAAACGACCCTCTTCAGGTTTTGAATTCAGAGTTGTCCTTCTCGTAGACCAGTTGCCATCCAGGGCTATAGAAACCAATCTGTTCTGCTATTTACCCATAGAGTAGACGCTCAGTTTATTTATTAAACAGTATATTGATTTATTTTCGTCTATCGGCATGAATATTCGTGAAATTTATTAAGGGATAGATGCCCCCTTGGGCAGGATCCGAACCTGCGTCCTCTTACCAGGTGAAACCTTCGTTAGGTCCGACGTGCTTTAGAGAAACTCGGCCACAAAAGGTCTTACCGATCGAGCAATACCAGTAGTGCCTTTAAGCGCAAATTTCTAAAGAAGTGATGAATTCTTTATTTATGAATCCAGTAGATTTTATCACTTCAACGGTTAATTTTAGACGCTCCATTTAACGGTATATTTATTTATTTTAGCCAGCTTGTCTGGTTATTGGACTTTCCCGTCGTAATCGACGTATGAATGTCAATCAACTCAGTTCATAGGAACCGACAGCCAGACACCTGCACATATGGCTTGATTATAGTGATGAAGGCTTTGTTCAGAACCAACTACACTTTTTAACCTGGTGCCACAAGGATCTGCTAAAAGATTTTGAATTCAGAGTTGTCCCTCTCCTAGATATCCAAGGCTATATATCCCAGTCTGTCCTGATATTTACCCATAGCTAGGAGGGAGAGGAAGAGGATTCATACCTTTCCCAAGGGTATTATCACGTAAGTGAATGGATTCAAGTGGAATTCGAACTCGCTATCCATTACTCCACCGTGACTCCGCATGCAAGTAGCGAATTGAGATACCCTTAAAGTCCAACGCAACTAAATTTTGAATTCACTTTCTGCTTTTTACTAGAGCAAGTTAATCCGACTTAATTAGCAGACTCCCTCCCTCTTCCTCTCCCTCTCCCTCTCTCTCTCTCCCCCTCTCTCTCTCTCACACACACACACACACACACACACACACGCGCGCGCGCGCGCGCATATGCACACAGACACACTGATGTGGATGACCTCTATCCTTTTATACACCAAAATGTGAGCATCTGAGTCAAGATATTTTTAATTGAGAATTATTAGTTTTACTATATAAATAGATACTGACCGACAGATAGACAGACAGACAGACAGACAGAAATACAGAGAGAGAGAGAGAGCGAAAGAGAGAGAGAGATACGCTTGTTTTTGTATGATTATTTTTAGTTTGATATGTATCATTTTAGTTGCAAGGAAAATATAATTTTGTATTTCTTACAAAAAAAAAAGTTATAAATTAAAACTTATATTGTAGTCGCAATATAAAGAAAATCTCCCCAATTTCTCTGATAATCTATATAATAAATGTGAATGTCAGTGTGTCACTGTGTCACACTTTTTCAACTTCACCCCTAGAGGCCATAACCCAACATATCATACTATTCTGGAATCAGACCGACTTTGTGAGCAAATTAAAAACATTCCAGGTTGGATCCGAACCCGAAATCCTGAAATATTGGATTCCCAAATTTTCATTACTGCGATTTTTTACCTGATTTTTTGCGACGAATTTTTTTGTACAATAACAATTTTTATAACTTGGAAATAAATTTGGGAATAATTGAAATTAATTGCGAAATCCAGCGAAAGTCAGCCATGAAATAAAAATAATGGTTTGTACGGAAAGTAAGGACCTACGTACATCAAACTGTCTTTAAATTAACTGACGACAGAAGAATTATTGTTGAACTTTTAAAAAAAATCTTTTTAAAAAAATTTGCTGCTACAAACATTTAAGAACTTTGCTGCTATACTCATAGTTAACTTTATTTATTTTTCTACAGCCACCAAGAAGATATTTCGTGGACTTGAAAGGTTTCAAACCAAAATAAAAAGACATAACACATCTAAATCATTTAAACAAACCTGCTTGAATGAAAATATGCTGCCTAAATATATATATATATATAGATAGATAGATAGATAGATAGATAGATAGATAGATAGATAGATATCCGACACAAGTAAAAATATAAAGCAAAAGAAGTTGAAAATTCAACTGAAGTCTTTAAGAATATTTATTTAGAGTAATTTTAACGCTTTCACAGTTCTATGATTTTGAAAAGTTAAATTGAGATGGAGAGACATGTGGTTATGCCATGATATGTCTCACATCTAAGTGGAGTTGGAAAATTCTTTCGACTTTATTCCAAAAAGTAAAAATTCATCTGCATTTGGCTACTTACTGAACCTTAACACATTTATAGAGACTCATGTACAATTCTTGTTTGTTTTGCCAACATCATCATCATCATTATTATTATTATTATGTCACGTTATCTTCCACGTTCCGGCATATTATGAAACACTAAAACTATTTCTAAACGCACACACGCGCATTTAATTTTTGTGCATTGAACTTTTTAGGATGGCTACATGGTCCAATAAAATAGAATTCCTGACACTTGAACTACTGAAAACTTTGAAAACTACCTAACATTTTAGCCGCGCTCACTGAACCATGGTAGTCTCAATTTTTGACAACAAAATTTTATGATCATCAATTTTGAATGTAAAAAAATTCTATGTCTGATAACGTGATCATAATCGAACAACGAGAATGCATTTTAAACAAATAGCAATCCGAGCCCCCATTTGTGAGTGTGCATAAAACAGAAAGAATTCTCGAACTTCAGTTAGATGCAACAGCTACCAAAGAATAGCCACACACACAAACAAACAAACACACACACACACACACACACTTAAAGTGGTCTATTTTTCTTTATATATATATATATATATATATGTGTGTGTGTGTGTGTGTTACGTTCGTATCTTTTTCTCTCCATCTATTTACACATTGATCAGTTGATACATAGATCGATAGCTACATAATCTTCATTTGATTTCTTTTGTATGCACATTTCTGATTGGTAACATATTCACCGAAATTAAATTCTTTCACGAATTATTGAACCAGTAAAAATGTCAACGGGAGTTAAAAAGAATTCGCCATTTAAGTTTGAATTTCATTGACATAAGGAATTTTCCTCCAACAAAACCTAATTTAACTCAAAAGAAAAAAAAACGTCGTCGTAAATATATTTTCTTTTTAAACGCATTGACATTAAAGCAGCACAGAAATTAATTATGGGTTTGCTTATTCGAGTTTTTTTTTTCCTATATCTATATTTATTTTTTAAAATCTTTGATGAATAAGGAATGAAGATATCCGTGATGTGTGTTTTTCTTGCACGCTATGATATCACGAGGGAAGCTCTCGATAACAATATGGCGTCAGGAAAGAAGCAAATGAATGAATGGCGATAGTTTTTGTGGTTACTTTTTGTCACGTTTGTAGGAAATGATTGGTTGCTCGTGACAAGGGAAGTGTCTGTCGTTCGCAAAACGCTTAGATCAGAGTTTGGTGTCCAGAATAAAATTGGAGACTGAGTCGAATATGGTTAATTCTTCTGTGAGCGGAAAATGGTAATTTAAGAAAAAATACTGAAAGGTGATGATGCGAAATTAAAAGGAGAATAAGAATTGAAAGGGAGGATTTTATGCATCCATATCGTGGATTTTGCACGTACCAGGCTGTTGAGGTAATTCAAAGATTGTATAAGTGTCAGTTATTCAGATCTTATATGTTTATTCCGTGCCTCTGGGTGAGAAATAGAACGTCTTATGAGGTGGGAAAAACTTGTTGGCAACTCTACTTGATTCTCTAATAGATAGATATATATATATATATATATATATATATATATATATATATATATATATATATATATATATATATATATATATATAGAGAGAGAGAGAGAAATCATTAAACACGATATTTCTGTCGTAATTCCCGAAAAACATGTAAAACTTATAATATATTAGAGAAAATGGAAAACCGCAAGCCTTGTTGTCACTAATCAAAATAACCCATCAAATCTAAACAAGCGATAACCAATACAGTGTATCAATTTCACTGCCCAGTACAAGACTGTTTCTTGTCACATATCAATTACCTATATCGGACATACAACCACCTCCTTGAGTAGATGCCTCATGTGTCATTTATTAGATCAAAGTCTAATTGATATATTCGCTTTTTTTGCTATTCCAGACTTTAAATTATGGCATTTCGTGTCCTTCACCTATTTTGACTGACCTTTTAACCACCATATGAATATTCATGAACGTTCTCAAATAAGCCTTGACAAACCAATGTTATCTTTGCTTTTGTATATAAATATAATAAATATAAATCCTACTTGGTAAAGTCCCTCTTGTCTTATTCCTTTTCTTCTTTTACAGATACACTCTATCTGAAAACAATTTACACACATATATATATATATATATATATATATATATATATATATATATATATATATGAAATGAACAAAGTCCAACAATTATTTTTAAGACATTTTTATGTTTATACATTCTTTTTATAAATACGAATATTTAAGTAAATACTCTGTTTATAATAAACAGTTTCAATAACATTTACCGGCTTGAATGTCCGAGAAATTTTCATAGAAAATGTTCGTCCTCCGAAAGGAATCGAACCTGTATCCTATACGGAACCGTCATATAGCCTGACGTGCCTTAACCGATTAAGCTACAAAGTATCGTTCGGTTTTACAGCTTTTAAACTACAATCTTCCATGAATATCTCATGTACATTCATATCTGCTCAATGCGTATCCAAATGTAAACAAATGACGAAAGTAAGTAATGATTACTGAAAAAATATTGTGTCTTTATGAGCGTGTGGATGTGCTTTTATAAACAAATACTTTTTACTGATGAATCTCTAAAACGAATACGCGCCTGTACGCATGCGCACGTGTGTATTTCCATGAGTTTACTTTCAAAAGACGCTTATTTCGTTTCTTGTCAGAAAGAAGAGTTAAACTGTTTTTTTTCTTTTTCGTTATTCGTGCTCTTTAAATGGTCGTAAAGCTTCCGTCGTCGTGGCCAATTACGACGGCACGCCTAAACTGTAATAGCTATGTTTAAGACGCATGCGCATAACAAAAGAACATATCGTTTGCTTTCATAAATGGCAGAAGACAGAACCAAACGATACTAACGACTAGCCGGCCAGTGAAAGGTGAAGATGGGAGTGAAAAAGAGGCTCAGGCGTGAATTTATTGAAAATGATACCACGTGACAATAAGAGAAAACTATACCTCTTTTGCTGAGAGTTAAATCAGTGGATTTTAACGATCATCGCCAATTCGATGCTAAGAAATGTCAGTTCCAAGAAACTAAGAGAATTAAGCATGCAATTCTACAAAGACACTGATTTTACCAGTATAATATGGATTGCTTGAGTTATTGTTTACTAATAGTAGCTTACTTTTGGCACAAATATTAGAAACCCAGCGGGGGTCAGACTAACTACATAATCAGAGTAGTTTCACTCCAAGAAACCTTGGATTGCTAGGGTTAAAGGACTTTGGTTTGGTTGAATTGATATTTTTCTTTTAGGGAGAATGTCAGGAAAGGATGGAGAATGAAATTGTAGTGATAGCAATTAGTAAATTACTAATTAACCGCCAACACATATTACTAGATTATGTGGTAGTCTGGAACCATAATAATTAATAATAAAAGAAAAATTAAAAGTTAAGCAATAAAAATACTTTTAAAAATTGATAAAATAATGGCAATTAACAGTAAAAAAAGATAAAGTTAGATTATAAAAAAGTTTTTAAAAAATATAGATTACTCCCATGATGCACCAGAACAATTGTTTTATCACAAAAAAAAAATTAAATTAAAACATTATCTCTTTTTATTTTCGGCCATCAAAGGCTGACGTTCTGGGATAAAACATGTTGCTACCAACAGATAAGCAATTTTTTTATGTTTGTGTACATATATGTTTAAAATATACAATCATTCCTCTGAAATATATGCTAAAGTAATTTATCGTTTTCATTTCTATTTTTATTTTGTTGTATCTCATATATGATTTTGTTTGCAGTATTGTAATAGTGTCTCATGATGACCTTTTTAACTATATATATGTGTGTGTGTGTGTGTGTGTGTGTGTGTGTGTGTGTGTGTGTGTGTGTGTGTGTGTGTGTGTGTGTGTAACAGCATGAAACGAGTACAGAACTTTTATGTAATATCTTTCCTCCTATATGGCAGTGAATACTGGACAATCTCCTTGCAGATGAAGAAAAGTCTTGAAGCAAAAGATATCTGGTTCTGCTGCTGAGAATAACATGGGCTGAAATTGTGAGCAATGACAAAGTTCTAGAGACAATGTAAACAAAAAGACACTTCTGTCTAACATCAGGAAGAGATAGAAGGGAGGAAAGGGGGGGATTGAAAAATTTGATACGCACAGAACAGATTGAAGGTAAGAGAGGCAGAGGAAAGCAACTAATAATGGCAACATCTACTATGTGCAGTGTCTTTTCAGCCCGTTGGTGATCACGGCTCTCCACAACTTCATGTAACTCTTAATAATTTATGCCTTTTTACTATCTTTCCCAAACCCAGCTCCGGCATCCATTCACTCATGTTCGCCAGTTAGGTTATGCGATGATTCCCTCTGCGCCTCTGGCCTTCAATCTGTCCTGTGAGTATCAAATTCTCCAAACCTTCTTTCTTCATCATGTACAACATTATATGGTTATGTGAGTATTTGTGCGTCGTATGTGTATGTTTTTACGGATGTATATGAGGGGGCACATATGCATATATAATTGTATGTATATATATATATATATATATATATATATATATATATATATATATATATATATATAAGCAGTTGTATGTATGAATATGTATGTATACATATAAAAAGCCACTATGATGTGTATGTGTGTATGTATGTATGTATGTATACATGCACAGGCAGATGTGTATGTATGTATATAAACGTGTGTAAAAGTATATATATATATATATATATATATATATATATATATATATATATATATAAAATCCCTGATTTAACAGTTTTAATACAAATATAGATAAAAAAAAAAAAGGACACAGGCGGACAGACACTCTCCAAGTCTGATCTTTAATAAGATAATTAATTTAGTTTGTGATACGCACCTATCCTCAGAGACCTCAGGACAATTTTATCTTTTATTTTGAACAGAGGATGCCAAAGGGAGCATACGCTTCTCCGGCGAAATGCGTCATTAATAAAATTTTCCATTTTTTCTCATCGTCTTCCCTTTTATTTTAGATACTATTATAGATTCTGAAAACACACACAGATAGATAGATAGATAGATAGATAGATAGATAGAAGAAATATACAAAGATAAAAATCGACATAGGTCTTTCGAAATTTTGAGCGAAAGAACAGGTGTTTAAAATGTGAGTTTAAAGGAAAGGAAGGATTGAAGGAAAAAATAAATAATGTTGTTAAAACCAACAAAGGATTGAACCGCTAGATGCCACCGTAAAAATTAAAACAAAAAAGATGTGCGTATCAAGAGATAACGACAGTGTGAGTGAAGACATGGATTGTCTTCCGGCCATATTTTTTCTGCACTATGGCTTCCCTTTCAATTGGTGTATCAAATGACCGATGCGCATGCCCATAGTAGCTGCAGGACAAGAACAAAAAACTAGTGTCAACGCTAAAGTTGGTTTAGGGGTTAGTTCAACATTCGATTACCATCCGCTGAAACAGGCTTCCGCCTTTTTTCTTCTCACTCAACTCTTTTTTGCTCAGACAGACTTCTCTTTTTTTTCTATCCGTTCACATCACGCCGTGGTCGGTTGACTAAATAAAATGTTTGGTTTGTGCCTTCCGCCATGAAAGACGATACGGTCAGTTAATTATTAAAACGTGAGCCATTCACACATGCATTTGCTGCTACCTTATAGAGCTATTTCGTTCCGTTTCTATTCCAAATTTCATACACACCCTCTTCCTGGGAAAGAAAAACGAAAGGAAGAAAGGCTGAGTGAGTTAAGAGCAGCAGTTGGAAAAGAAAAGGAGGAAAAGATGTGAAAGAGTGATAAAGAGATTGGAGGAAAGAGAGAAAAGGCATGGAAGCAGTTAGGACTGAAACAAGAAAGGAAGAGGTGAAAGGGTAGAGAGGAGAGGTTGAAAGAGTAAAAGAATAAAGGAACAGGAGAAAGAAAGTGAGATGGTTATTGTGACGGAAAAGAAAAGAGAGACAACATTAGGAATAAAGAGACAGAATGAAATCCGAAGAAAGGGAAAACATTGATGGAAAAATGTAAAGCGCGAAATGAAAAACTGAATGAGAACGAAATGGCCAAAATGAATGTGTCAATCGTTTGACAAGAAAAGAACTGAAAGATCGATGAATACAAAAACTAGATATTTACGAAGCTGAGCTTACTACGACATAAAAGAAATACAGAGAAATTACACGAAAAGATTGTATTGCGCAGTTATTCTAATCATTAGTGTGTATGTGTGTGAGAGTGTATGTGTTGAGGCTTTTGCCCTATATTCTACGTGGTGTCTAAAGGGCTAAATATTTCAAATTATTGAATAAATTATAAACATTATGCCTGCTTATTTTTATCATGATCCTTTCATATTCACGAATATTTTTGCGTATATTCCAATTGAATAAGTCAAGAAATGCATTCTAACAGTGAGAATCACTTTTATTTCCCAACTGCTTTCTGAGATCATCATCAGGGGTGCAACTGGTAAGGCAAAAACCATGTTTTTTTTTTCTTTTCCGTTTAAATGCCTTATTCAATTGCAATATACGGAAAAATATTCGTGAATATGAAAGGATTATGATAAAAATAGTCAGATATAATGTTTGGAATTTATTCAATCAGACATGCTTAAAAAGAACTTGACGCATATATATATATATATATATATATATATATATATATATATATATATATATATATGTTCTTTCCTATTTTTCTATATATTTGCATATATATATATATATTACGATAAACGTGCAATCAATTTACAAATACATGAATTATTCACACAAAACTAATGCAAAGGTTAATGCTTTAAATGGCGAGACATCCATCATCGCAAACAATTCAAATAGTATACAAAAACCTCCAGATCCGTTATGAATGAATTGATCCTTGTTTATATAAATTTCTGCCGTATTAGTTGTTATTTTTACTACAAGCTTTCGTCTGTTCCTACAGACATCTTCAGGTATAGAATAGATGTTGTTCTTGGTTTTTTTCTCTTAGTAATAAGAGGACAACGAAAATATGTGTTGTTGTATCCGAAATGCTATTGAAAATGAGTTATTGGTTTTGGAACGCGCCAAAGCAACGCTGAGTTTGATTTTAAATTTTTAAAGTGATAGAAGAAAGGATGAGGAGAAGGGTAGTTATCTCATAACCGTCTCTGCATCCTTTCCTCTATCACTCCTCTTTTCTCTCGCTCCAACTCTCTGTAACCCCTTGCGTGCTAGTGGCTTCTCACCTTGCTTGAGATGAAACGCTTGAAAAAAATTATATATATATGTATAGTTGGATTGATGTGAGTTTGTGACCCTGGGTTTCACGCTTTTGCGATCGTCAGACAAACTGATTAATTGATGTACGCAGACACACAGACACACACGCGCGCGCGCTCTATGTTAGCTCTATCTCTGATATTGAGCGCTTTCAATAAGTTCCGCGCATATATAATATATAAATAATATATATAATAAATTACACACATATATATATATATAGATATAGATATAGATATTTATATACATACACTTTTCATTCATTCATATATATATATATATATATATATATATATATATATATATATTATGAATTATGATTTTTGCTGTGTCTTTAAAACCCAGTAATTTTAAAAGTTACTCCAAAATTCGCTTGAGGATGAAATGGAACTAATCTCTTTAATTTAATTACAAAATTAAATTCGTAGCTTTTAGCTTCCATTTTTGAAACATGGTTAGAACTGTGTAGCGAAAAAAACATATTTTAAATCAATTAATTTATAATATTAATGCTCTGTAAATTCACATTGAGCATTATTTTGTAAAAATAAAAATATCTATAATAACACCGGATTATATATCTTACTGTTCTTTCTTTATATATATATATATATATATATATATATATGTGTGTGTGTGTGTGTGTGTGTGTGTGTGTGTGTGTGTGTGTGTGTGTGTATGTATGTTGAACAATAAAAAATGAAAAAAATAAAATTTTCGATTTGTGGTTTGTATATTAATGTTTCTGAGGTTTTATTATTTAAATTAGTTTCCTCGATTAATTACGACCAGCATGGCCATCATCAGGGAAAAAAATCCCTGCTAGTTAGTAGCAGTGAACTAAAGGTGTGAATAACTGCATGTCTTTGAAGAAAGGGAACTTTGTAGTTTTCATTTGATTTTTATCGTTAATTAACCTTTTTACTCTTCTAAACCTATCTTCTATTTCTATAACAAAGATCAAAATATAATTGTAAGAAAGTTTGCCTAATCCACTAAAAACTTGTTAAACGAGCAAATTCTCAAGAATTATTATGTATTCTTTCACATATTTCTAAAATAAAATTTGTGGCTACTTCGAAGGAGATTAAATGGTGAATTGATATATGTTATAGTTTTCTTTTTTGTGTACAAACAATGATTCATTTTTTGTAACTTAGTGGTTGTAGAAATTGTCTAAAGTATTCGTTCTGGTCGCTTTCTGTTAATCTATTAGCTATATTCAATTATTTTAATTGTGTTATTTTATATGTTGTTTAAGTGTTGTAAACTGTTTAAAAGTCACTGAAAGAGCTCAGAACGAACAATCATTTGAAGAATGTCTTCACTTACTAAGTCCAAAAAGTTTTGCAGGGTTCACCACTTTATTTGCGAGGGATGGAAATTTTTTGTAAATATTTGTTGACTCCTGATAGAATTGTCACGTAAACAATATTAGCGAACTCATGTGAATCCAGGTTAAAATAAGTCCCAAAAAACATGAAATTTTAAACAAACAAGTATAGATAGCCTGACATGTTACAAAAGGGAAAATGAGAAATGATTTTAAAGTTGTAAATAGTTCAAAACAACCTTCACTGTGTGTCTCTGGGGTACTAACATACTGACAGAGCAAGAAGAGATGTCTTGTCGCTAGCAAAGCCAAAAGACAAAGAGAAAGAAGCTCTCGAATATCACGCCGCCTAAGATAATCGTCAGCGGCGTTAATCCAAGAAAAGAATTCTCTTGTTCGCATACAAGAAAAATACAATAAAAGCCTTGTCAGTCACTTTAATAAAATATATGTTAGAGATTTCTACCTAAATCGACAACTATTAAATTACTTACTAACCTATGATCTTCACATTAGATGATTGATCTGACTTTATTGGTATTATGCATTACACTTTCTTAAGCACTTTCTTATCGCAGATCAATTCTTTATGTAGGGAGTTCGTTCCACTACACTGGCCTTCTGCGAGTCTAATCAACGTTTGCTAAATAGCATGCAACTTCATACTAGAAATTTCAACTGATGGCCTTAAATTTATTTACCTTAATTGATCATGTTACCAGTAATTTGAGCAACTTCCTTATAAGGAAACTGTCGGCATTCAGTGACAGAAAAGATTGTCAATGTCTTCAAATGCTGTTTGCAAACATCATCGAATCAATTGTTAAGCAGCACTTTACAAAATTTGATAAATTCAGAGAACTGAAAGAGACAGCAAAATTCATCGTTTCCAGGCAGCATCAAACTGGGTAAACTAAACAAATGTTTTCATGGATAGACATGGATAATCTTGAAAGAGTAGCTCAATTTCAAAGCAGTTGTTAACCTTGGAGTTGAGTTGAGAAATATTGAAAAGGAGCGATTAGAGATCGAAGACAAATACCATTCCAGAAAATTTTCTCGGTTTATAAAACCTTGCAACAGCATTACTATCCATGTTTTCATCTACATATGAATGTGAATTTTTGTTCTCAGTAATGAACTTTAGCAAGTCTCGTAACAGGAGTAGATTGACGGGTGCATGCATATCTCTCAAGGTTACTAAATATAAATCCGATATAAAATCCATGTCATCAGTGGTGCAGCAGCAGAAGTCCCACTGATAATATATAAAAAGAATCCACAAGTAATAAAATATTTTTAATTTGGAAAAAAAATAACTGATTTTCTAAATAGAATATTTTCAGTTAAAAAATTTTTACTTAAATACGAATAGTCATTAAAAAAATAACGTTTAAAGTTATAGAAATCGGTCAGATTAATACAAAAAATTAATTCTAAAAAAGAACATATTATTGCAAAATAGCCAATGCGACAGTTCTCTACATTATAGTGCGCGATTAAATGGAATCCACAGTGCAAAACCTCGTTCTGAAATCATTGCAACGAGTTTCGAGGACCAAAAAATACACAAGTAAACTTACGGTTCTTCGATTACAATAAATCAGGAAAGAAAAAAATACAGCTTCAGAAAAGCTTAAAGAGAAATCGATTTTTTTCTTAAGGAGAAAAAGTAACAAACGAAGAAGATTTCATTTCTAAAATCGAAATCTAACAGTATTGATTATCGTTTATGGTACCCTTCTATAAAACAAATACAAATGTCAGTGTGTCACACTTTTTCACCTTTACTCCTAGAAGCAATAGCCCAATATGTCATACAATTATGGAATCAGGTTGACTCTGTGAGCAAATTAAAAATATCCCAGGCCGGATCTGGAACCACAATCCTAAAATTTTGGATTCCCAAGTTTTCATTACTGCGATTGTTTTCGACGTTTTTTTTACCTGATTTTTTGCAACGAGTTTTTTTTGTACAATAACAATTTTTATAACTTGGAAATAAATTTGGGAATAATCGAAATTAATTTCGAAAGTCATCCATGAAATAAAATTAATTGTTTGTACGAATGTAAGGACCTACGTACATCAAATTGCCTTTAAATTAAGTGGCGGCAGAAGAATTATTGTTGAACTTTTAAAAGTAAGTTTAAATATGAATGCATTACTTAAATGCAGCGATCAATTTTCAGTTCTTCTGTAGTTTATTGATGACTATCGCATCTAATCTTCCCTACCTATTGTTATGAAGGCCCAATCAAGAGCTTAAATGTCACATGATAGGGTGGATTTTAAGCTACTATGTAATAAATACAAATGTCAGTACGGTAAAAATTATTTCCTTCACTTCATTTACTCACCGGTGCTTATTTCGTACGGCACGTTTATTATGTTTCAATTCATTTTCTCCGCGGCGCGATTATTCTGTTCCACGTTTATTAAACTTCTATAAAAAAAACTCCACAACGCATAACGCTTATTTTATGAGTTGAAAACTTCACACCGGCATGACTAGGGCGGTACATGTATTTGGTACAAAAATGTAAACAATAAAATTGCTACACCGGTTCTTTTACGATCACTGAAGCAACGTCGAGCCTGGTCAGTACCTAGACGAGGGACCGCTTGGAAATACTATGTGCTGTAAGCCTTGGATGTGCGGGTAGTATAATGGGTTTACGGTCATATCACGTAGAAACACTGTTTCTCGTGCGATCACCTAAGTTAAGCAACGTCGATCCTGGTCAGTACCTAGACGAGGGACCGCTTGGAAATAGTATGTGCTGTAAGCTTGGATGTGCGGGTGGCCATTTGGAAATACCAGGTACTGTATGCTTGCGGGTAGTATAATGGGCTTACAGCTAGATCACGCTGAAACACCGTTTTTTATACGATCAAGGAAGTTAAGCAACGTCGAACCTAGATGGGTGACTACCTAGAAATACCAAATGTTGTATGCTTGGAGATATTAGTGGTGTAATGGAAATCGCATGGAATTGGAACTCAGAAAGCTGAGTTTCAAATTCAGTCGCTTTCGTTACAAATACCCTTGGTAAAGCTATCACTCTACCCCTTCTCCTCTAGCTATGTGTTAATTAGTAGGGCTTGTATCAGTCAATTATTATTATCACCATAGAATTCTTGCAATCTAAAGATATTTCCTGGTTTTAAATAACCTATCAAATGGTTGATAATCCATAAGAAAGAACAAATTAATCAAAAGTCTTATTTCAGTGAAAACATGTGTTTTGAATATCCTGAAAATGCATCGTGATTTAATAATCATCAAGGAGATGAACATTATAAAAATATGAGAATAAAAACTGATGTGCTACTAAAATTTGTCGAAAGTTCAATACAAAGAAAAATAGCGTGTCTGTGCGTGGAAAATTTTAATATAAATCAGATCAGTTGAATTTTCATTTATGTCACATCGTGCCTAAAATAGTTCAGAATTTCTCATCTCTGCTGCTGGTCGGCGTTCGAATCGGCATTCATAAAAGATTTTGGATGTTGATTCGTCTAGACAGGCATATCGTCTAGATTTAGCGTAACACCATCACTCTTCCTTCAATTGGCCTTCGTGACGTACTATCTAAGGAACGCTTAGTACTCTTGGGTACCAAATACAAGTGATGGTACGATATAAAAATTCCTTAACCTCCACTCGGTGACACAGTGCTTATTTGATATAAGGGGTTCATTATTTTTCAATTTTGTTCCAGTTTAAAACAGAAGAGAAGATAGTAATACATTAGACAGGAAATTCTCAAGAGTGCTGCTACCGAATCTTATCAAGATATAAATGTGCTCCCCGAATTTTTTTAAAATATCTCCATTCCTAAAAGAATTACTCTTTTCCCAAGCCAACATAAAAAATTTAAAAAATTAAAAGAAAATCGTTAAATTCATAACCTTCTTTTTATTTAAAATATATAACATAAAATAATTTAAATATTAATTTGCATATTTTTTTCAAGAGCATCATTTACTCACTTTCTTTTATTAGACATTGAATTATGTCACTTAGAGTTCTCCATAGCTTGCCTAGATGTTTGGGCTTACCTGATGAATATTTATGAGCGTTCTTAAATTTAAGAAATTTGAAAAGCCAATAACATTTTTGCTCGTGTCACAAAATAAAATCCATGCATTTAGCGTGATAAAGTCCCTCAGAAGACGAAATGCCTCGGCTAAGATAAATCTTCCTTTTTTCACTATTCATATTGCCCCATTACAGATATATTCTATCTGAAATTTTACACACACACACACACACACACACACATATATATATATATATATATATATATATATATATATATATATATATTTAGGTGGCATATCTTCATTCAAGCATGTTTGGTTGAATAATCTGGACATATTATGTCTATTTATTCCAAGGCCGGAGCGTACAACAACCGAAACATCGTAAATATACCAACGAAGATGAAGACAACAGTCGGAACAATGTAAACAGCATATATAATTACAATACCTCATCTCAGAAATACAGACAGATCCTGAAGAAGACCGGAGCGTACAACGATCGAAACGTCGTGAATATGGCAAGGACGATGAGGACAACAGTCCGAAAAATATAAATAACGTAAATAATTACAATACCTCTTCTTAGAAATATGGACAAAAACTGTGTACTTTATCTTTGAATATATTATAAACATAGGAATTCATAATATGAAAAAACTATACTTTCATCTTTTTTTTTATCATAGATGTTTATGACATCGCATACAATAACAAACTAACGGTTTCGCCATTTCTGACACAAGTCTACGATTTCGACCCTCTGGCTCGTTATGATCCATTACATATGATCCATTACATAATGACTGGGGATAACTTCATCTGATGGAAGACTACCAAGCACAGTGGTGAAGAGATGGGCACTGATCATTTAACCATTCCATTCCACACCCCACACGAATCTACTAATATAAGACCAATGTACCTATGATGAGGGTGATATACTGAAGATGTAGGTATTCATACTTTGGTTAAGAATAATCTTGAACAAAAAATCATCTTCTACGAACTGTTCCTCTAAAAAGGACTCAAACCTTTCCAAAACAGAAATTATAATCTGGAATCGGACTCAAAACAGTGATTGAATGTACCCTGAATCCATCATAAAAATAAGGACGCGGATTTAGTAAATACCAAGCACTTCAAATATTTCGGTGTATGGATCAATTATAAGACATTTAGTATAAGAGATAAAGAAACTGAGCTGCGCTATAGGTAGTTTCGTCCACCGCCGCAAATTGCTACAAAACCAAAACATTAATCTAAAAACTCTGTCCCCGATCTTAAATATCCTCGCCAAATCGAGACTTTTCTATTGGATGCCCTGCATGGTACCAAACTGGTTCAGAAATAGCTGAACTGTTAACTGTATCCAACCGCTTTCTCAGATGAATGGTTAAAATGGATTTGAGCGAATAAACCTTAGAGGCTTCAGCAAGGATCATCCTTCTTCGAATCTTGTGGACTAGCGCTACAAAATCACAAGCAAAAAACTGTACCAAATAAAAGAAAGGTAACTTAAGGACTACCAACAGCAATAACAACTAAAATGGATATCACATGTAACTCAAAGAGAAAATAACGACATAATCCTGATGTTGACGTTCCACATTCAGTCTGTTATGTGCCGTGCGTGAGACACGCTTAGGCGATCATGTATCTTTCGATACATGACTGACGAGGCAGATGTTTCTCGCAGTAGGTTACCATTTCTTTCTGCGGTAGACCAGTTGCCATCCAAGGCTATAGAACTTGGTCTGTCCTGATATTTACCCATAGCTTGAGGGAGAAGAAGAGGATTCATACCTTTCCCAAGGGTATTAGCACATAAGTGAATTAATGGATTCGACTAGAATTCGAACTCGGCTCTCCGATTTCTCAATCCGACTTCAAGCAAAAGTCTAGGAAAGAAACCCCCTGTAATGACAAAAGTACGCAGGTGTGAGCTTTAAGAAAATTTTATTCAACTGAGAATACAAGGTTTACATATAGTGTCCTTTTATAGTCCTAGTAAACAGAAATAGCTCTCTCAACGAGGAGAGTAATAAAACAAGGGGAGACCACTCTTGATTATTCATAACACCCCCACCCCATCAATACTGGAAAGGGCGATAACAGCAAGTGGACCTGAGAAATCTTTTTTTCTGAAAAAGTGTTTCAAGAGACAGATTTTTTAAATTTCAATCGACAGTAGTACTGGCTGCACAGTCAATGAATGTCGAATGTTTCCTTATAAGGAAACAGCTAATATCATTACCGTTGCTATAGAGCATTAGCTAGCGAAGACTGATCTGAGTTGATTTTTTTTTTTACAAAAGAGCTTGTTAATCAATACACTTCAACTAGCGCTCGACTTTCATGATTTTTGGACGAAGCCAGATTTGGTAGAAGACTATACTTTTGAAAAAAAAGTTTGATTTCGCCACCCAATGACGGCACTAACAAAAAAACTCTATTTGCGTTATTGTTCTTTTTTTTTTTCATTTTTTTTTTTTTCATTTCATTTTGGTCGGTTTTGTTTAAATTTTTTATTACAAAACACGTGTCTTTCTTTCTTTTGCTATAATGGCTATCTTGAAAAAAAAACAAAAAAAATCGTTGTTATCCTTCGAGAGACATGAGGGAATATTGGCTTTCCTCCATCCAAAAGTTGAAGTCCGTTCTGAGTCCTTCACTTTCTGCTGCATATCCCCGTTACGTTGAATGGCGTCTACCCAAAATGTCCTGCCATTTCGGAGCTAAAATGAATTATTGATAAAGGCACCACGGAATGAGTCTCATTATATACGCAACACCAACTTAGCAAGTGTCTGACGGAAGTGCTCATGTAACTTAAATGTATCTAGCCGGGTGTCTCCGTTTTTACTCCCCTTGTCGCCTCGACCCTGAGAAGTTAAGACGGGTAACTGGAGTGCGATGAATTCGATTGTAGTTGGGAGAGAGAGGGTGAGTTGAATGGCCACACGGCCACTAATAAGTGACATGTGGAGTATGGAAAAAGTAAAGATCTTACTCCCCGCCTCCCATTCAAACAACACACAGCGTCAGTACAAACTCCGCCATTTGTAATTTTACTTAACACACTCTTTCACATTATTCGTTTTTTATCTTCTCTTTTATTTCTTTTTTTCTTTTCTTTCTTTTCTTTCTTTCTTTTTCTATTCATATCTTTCGTTCATTGTTTCCTTTCTCTTAAATTAAACTCATCATATTTTTCTTTTTTTCCTTTCTAAGTGATACATTTGTACATAGATTTAAAATCATTTTCTCCCTGTTTAAATATTCTTTTAATGTTGCCCTCGTAATCTGCAATTGTTCTTGAAAATTTAAGATATCAACTTTGGTAACTTGCTCTTCGATAAAGGGAAGAGAGAATAAAATGTGTGAAAATGAAACCAAATTTAATTTATACAAAATTCATAAATAAAGTACTGTCATTATCAATTGTTGACTACGACTGTTAAATATGCATTATATATCAGAAGTAAAGAAGTAGCTACAAACAAGCTATGTGGTAATGTGTTGCTGTATAGTAACTTATTCGGAATTATGACAAGTGTGTCTTCGAGAAAAGGTTGTGGTTGTATATTCTATATCAGTTTTTTTATTTATTTATTTACAGAGGTAAACTTTCTAATTGTCTGTAGGCTTTATGTATCTATTGCCTATAGATAGATACAGAAGACATTTTGTGTGGTAGGTGGTCATGCAGTAAGTATTCATTAAAACAACGTTTGTTTAATTTTTAATTGTATTTTTCTAATTTTTGAATAAGTTGTTGTACATTAGAATCAAAATTGTGTAGAAACTGTCCAAGTTCTTTTTTTTTTTTTTTTTTTTTTTTGAGGGGTTGTATATATTAAAGAGATATCTTTAGTCAATGCCCGTGGCTATAATGCGCCGTTTTGCTTACTTAGTGGTACAGACATACACAATTATACTTTTAATATTATATTAGGTAAAATTGATTTCATTGTGAGTAGAAATTCAAATTGTACGAAAATACAGTCACACCTCTCTTAACGACTTACCCGTTTAACGACTTACATGTTTAACGACATCTACTGTTCAGTACGCTACTGTAATTGCTACATATAGAAATAAATTAGAAATGTCACAAATGATGCAAATGCTATATTAACCCTATCTGAAAATAGTTGGCGCTAACCCATTCTCGCTTAGCATCTAGTTCATTTAGTGACCAGATCGTTGGAATATAATTCAGTCGTTATGTGAGGAGCGACTGTATTTGTTATATTTGAAACTGATAGCCACAAACCCGTTGCACGCATGTGTTTGTGTGTGTCGTGCATGTCGTAACCAAATAGGGCCGTAGATGCACCACATTTACTGAATCCATAACAGCAGTAAGTGTGTCTAAGGCAAGATAAGAGTGGTTTTGATTTCAGAGTTTTCCTTCTCATAGACTAGTTGCCGCCTAAAGGTAAGAGCGCTCAGTCTACTCTGCTGTTTAACCCATGGGTGGAGGAAAATGGATTGATGCTTATTTCTGAGGTTATTAGTGCTAAGTGAACACAAGAGAATCGAGCGTGAATTGAACTCGGAACGCCATATCCATTACTCTATCCGTGCATTCAACAGGTGTAGCATGCCTGAAATATATATATATATATATGTGTGTGTGTGTGTGTGTGTGTGTGTGTGTGTGTGTGTGCGCGCGCAAATATATAGAAGAATAGGAAAGAACGTGTTAGGTAAATAATCCAAAGTTCTTTTTAATAGTATATATATATATATATATATATTATTTTTATATATATATAAAATATATATATATATATATATATATATATATATATATATATATATATATATATATATATATATATATATATATATTATATTAGGCACCATCAAAACTCTAGATGATCAGAACTTGGCAACTAGTCTCTCTTCTAAACAGCTTACAAGTCACATCACGTCTAAACACCGGTTCCCGTACGATCATCGAAGTTAAGCAATATCTAGCCTAGTCAGTACCTAGATGGGTGACTGTTTGGGAATACCAGGTGCTGTAAGCTAAGATGTACGGGTTATGTAATTGATAATGTCTCGGGATTTTTAATCGGAGAGACGAGTTCTACTTCCCGTTCGTTCGTTATATTCACTTACACGCAAATACCGTTGAGAAAGGAATTAATCTACCTCTTCTCCACAGCTATGGATTAATTAATAAGATTTGTATCACTAAACCATTATTATCTCAACAACAAAAACTTCTTACAATCTAAAAATATTTTCTGGCTTTCAATAACCTGCAAAGGGTTGATAACCCGTATAAAACGAATCAATGAATCTTCTGGCCAACATTTAACAGGTCAGTAGAGGAAAAACTGCTTGGTTTCAAAAACCAAAATTGTGACGATCAACACCTGAATTTTAAATATCGCGATGAATGGGGGTTGTCTCAAGGAGGTCCCATGCCTTGAGAATCTATTGGGTCTTAAAGCCAACCCAGACCTCAAGCAGAACTCGCTGAAGATGCTGGAAATATGCTCGGCTCCCAGTGCCGTCCCAGTAAGTACCTGACTGTTCCTGCTATCCTTTACCTTTACAAGAGCCAGGGCAGGCCGAAAATGGAGTATAGCTGCCATATATGGGCAGGAACTACTCAGTCTTCACTTTCCAGTCTCGATATGTCCAAAATCATCTCGCTGTTCTATCGCTATTTCCATGGAAAATGTTCAAAGGAACTACATTCCTTAGTTCCAGCAGTTCTAACCTTCATGGCAAAGATCCGCCATGCTACAAACATTGTAGCGAACCACCCTCCTCCCCTTCGTAATTCCATTGGTGCGATACAGGTACTAATCCAGCAGCTTTCTTCCCACGAAATGCTGCTTTGTGGAACCGACTCCTAAGCGGATGCTCGCTGATCACTACAATGTTGGCATGTTCAAGTCTAAAGTCTACCGTTATCTTCCTCACACTTCCCCATAAACTTTGCCTCTTACTCTGTAATATCTACCTTCGGGGTCTCTTGTGACTTGTACAGGGTGAACATAATTGTAAAAAAAAGTTACAGTGTACACCTTCACAATATTTGAGTATCCAATAGGAAGCGAACTGAACTGAAATGTTAAATTTGTATTTACACTATTTACATTGTTCGGACTGTCGTCCTCATCTTTATTGTCATATTCACGACGTAACGACCGTTGTAATAATCTGACCTTCTTCAGGATATCTCTATATTTCTGAGAAGTGGTATTGTAACTATTTACACTATTTACATTTAATAAGTTTACATTACTCATGTTTATTGTCATATTCATTAGGGACACATGGCCCTGTGGATAAAAGCGTTGGTTGATTGACCCTGAAGTGACTTAATCGAAAGATTTGTGAGTTCAATCCCAGGCCAAAACAGTGAGAACAAAAACCTGGAGAGTTGAATTAACTAAAATTGAGATATCCGAAGACATAGCAGGTGGAATTAGAACATGATAAAGTGTTTGGTTCGAAATTCCGAATTTCACCTGAAGAAGGCCGGATCGTACAACGGCCGAAACGTTGTGAATAACGCAATAAAGATAAAGACAACAGTCTGAACAGTGTAAATAGTTATAATACCTCATCTCAGAAATATAGACAGATCATGAAGAAGGCTGGAGCGTACAACGGCCGAAACATTGTGAACAATGCAATAAAGATGAAGATAACTGTCTGAACAATGTAAATAGTTACAATACTTCATCTCAGAAAATTACAGATTGTGTAAATGAACGGCAGAACAGTCAGTGTGAAGGGCAGTAGAAAAATATTGCTCAGAGCTGCAATGGATGGGAAGTGGTGGAGAGCCATAATCAAATTGATTTTTACATAATTCTTGTCTCAAGATGCCGTTTGTCTAGATGAATGGCAGAACAGTCAGTGTGAAGGATAGTAGAAAAACAAATATTGCTCTGAGCTACAATGGATAGGAAGTTGTGGACAGTCATCATCAACCTAACTTACAAGTTTGTGTAAATAAATGGTGGCTACAATTTTAACAATATGCAGATAACAGTGTTGAAAGCAGACACAGAAAAAAAAACTACAAAATCTCTTACAGAAGGTAGTGAAGGAAAGCGAGAAGAAAGGACTAAGCATAAACTGCATGAAGACAGAATGCATGGTTGTTAAGCAAAAGGATGAGCCCCAAATCGGAGATACCAAAATCTAAGAAGTACAAATAATTAAATATCTGGGGAGTGTTCTAACAAAGGCCGGGAAGTACGACACTGAAATTCGAAGTTGCATTGGGATAGCCAAAGATGCCTTCCAAAAGCTAAGCAGAGTATTACGAGACGTAAATACTTTGTTAGAAACAGAGAAAAGACTACTGAATTGTTATGTGACATATGTCCAGCTATATGACAGTGAATGCTGGACAATCTCCTCAAAGATGAGGAAAGGACTTGAAGCAACAGAAATGTGGTTCTACAGAAGGATACTGAGAATACCATGGACCAAACATATGAGCCACGGCGAGAAAATGGAGACAAAAAGCAAATATACTTAAGAGACAGCTGAAATCTCTAGGACACATAATGAGAAAGGAGGACTCGACAAATCTGATACTCACAGGACAGATTAAGAGCAAGAGGGACAAAGGAAAACAAATGCATTACATACTTGATAAGCTTAAGTAAATGGATGGGTGGAACAGGGTTTAGGAGAAATAACGAAAAGACAAAAATATTTTAAATACAATATTTTCATTTTTCACTATGAAACAACTTTTATGTTTGTTATTAATTCGCATTTTTCTAGGACCCACTCCACAATTAAGCAATTAATTTTAATATATTTTCTGTTTATAAGTTATTTTCATAGATACAAATATTTAAGTAAATGCCCTGTTTATAATAAACAGTATTAACAACATTTACTGGCCTAAACGTCCGAGAAATCTCATAGAAAATATGCGACCTCCGACAGGAATCGAACCTGTATCTTACACGTCATAGAGCCAGATGTAGTATACATTCAGGCCGATAAATGTTGTTCATACTGTTTATTATAAACAGAGCATTTAATTAAATATTTATATTTATAAAAATAACGTATAAAACAGATAATATATCAAAAGAATTGTCGGTCTTAGTCTATTTCATAATATATGATATCATTTGTTTACGTTAAGATACGCTTCGAGCGGAAACAGGCGTTCGAGAGAAATCATGGGAAATTTCTATTTTAAAAACAGTAATTTGTTTTTGCTAACCAGACGCTTCCTCTGTAGCTAAATAGTATAGCACGTCAGACTATATTATGATTCCGTGCAGAATACAGGTTCGATTTCTTTCGGAGGACACATATTTATGACATTTCTCGGACATTCAGGCCGGTAAATGGAGTTAAAAAACAGCATTTACTTAAATGTTTGTATTTATGAAAATAACGTATAAACAGAAAAAAATATATATATATATGTATATATATATAAAGAGAGATAGATAGATAGATAGATAGATAGATAGATAGATAGATAGATGTGTGAGTGTATATATACATATATATAGAGAGAGAAAGATAGGTATGTATATATATGTGTGTATATATATATATGTGTGTGTATGTGCATATAAAGAGATAGATAGATAGATATGTATATACATATGCGTGTGTGTGTATGTGTATGTATATATATGTGTGTATATATATATATATACATAGACAGATAGAGATAGATAGATAGATAGATATGTATACATATGTGTGTGTGTTTATATATATATATATGTATATATGTGTGTGTGCGTATATATATATATATATATTTATATTTATATATATACATATATATATATATATATTTATATTTATATATATATATATTTATATTTTATATATATATATATATATATTATATATTTATATATATATATATATATATATATATATATATATATATATATATATATAGAGAGAGAGAGAGAGAGAGAGAGAGAGAGAGAGAGAGTTAAAGCAATTAATGTAAACTGAAATGACCGGTATCGCTAGAAATGAAACTTGACGCAGGTGAATAAAGGCAATAAAAACTTTCCACTGACAAAAAGAAACTGTAAAAAAGACATTTCTTAGTTATAAATTTCATTTGTTTCACCTTGATACGAGGAGCAAATAGGTGCAACGAATTTAATTATCCTTTCTTTCATTAAGCAGATTAGCTCGCCATCCGTAACGAGGAATGCTTTTACTGCCATTACAAAAAAAAAATCTTGAACACTCTTACCCGATGGAGACAAGTATTTCAGCCAGTATTCAACATATTTCATTAAATACTAGCTTAAAAGCCGTGCTCGGTGCAGACATTTAAGCTAGCTCCTGTGGAGAGACAATTGGGCCTCTGACCTAAAATTAAAGGGACTAGCTTAGAAAACAGCAATAATTATGAAGAAATAACTTTGAATTCCTCAATTCTCTCCATGGAACTTCAAAACTTCACTTCCGTCTACAAGTCCAATTCCGGCCAAAAGACCGATTTAGACCAAAGTTCCAATTCAGGATGAATACCGAGTTCTTCAAATCACAAACTTCCTAGAGATTCAATCGAGTTGAGTTCTTCAAATCACAAACTCTGTGGAACTTCAAACGTAGAGTAAATGTGGCCTGTGTTAAATGGTTACATGGTCGGACAGATAGAATTTGCCGTTTATTTATTCAGATTGTAGAACCTTTGTCTTAAGAGAGTGCAATAATCGCATTTAATCATGAAATGTTTCCCTGTATACAAAGCCTGGCGCGTCGAGGTACCAATGGTTGCAATACTTCGAATGACGCTCTAATGAAATCACTGGAGATGTGAACGACGGTGTTGTAGCAGAAGTAGAAATCTAGCTATAGGCATATGTGGCCATAATACTTTTACAAACAAACGATTTCCGACAGTTCCTGTTGATACCCTTGGGTCCACATCTGCTCTGATTTAGGTCGCAGACGCTGTGCAGCCTTCCACTGTTGCTGAGGTAATCTTGGTTGTGTTTTCCAAATCACAAACTCTGCGGAAATTCAAAACATCACGTTATGGAACT